AGGCGGAGTTCATCTGTTGTAATAAAAGTAAGCTTGGAGGAAAATGTGACAGATGGGGAGGACTGTGCCAGCGAGAAAAGCGAGAGTGGGACTGTCAGACATGTCGACTCCGGCGTAGTGATGGATGGAGAGTGAGGTAAGACAGATGACATCGTCTGTCTGAGGCCATGTTGTCATAGTGGAGGATTGCTGCTTGTCTTAACCTCTCAATATCAGAGAGCAAACTGAAGTTTGTTTACACTGCTCCAGTGGAGTGATTTAGAATGAGGGGTGAGGGAGATGTGGGTGTAGAAGGTATGCTCGCTGGAGAGTCGGATCAGGTTTCTAAACATTCCCTTTGAAATTGAATAGCAGCCATCCCAGGCATTTTAAACTCAACCATTCCCATTTGGTTACGACCCTCAAGGTAGAGAGGAGACACAAACACAAATACAAACAGAGAAAATGAATGATTAATATCAGCCTTGAAATACTCGTAGTAGTTGATATCCAGCCTGGATTCTAGCCAGTGAAAAAGCTGAAAGTAAAAAAAGGCAAGATTGCCTCTTGGTTGGTATGGAGCCATCATAAATCATTAGAAAGATAAAATATCATGGCTTATATTGGTAGATACAAAGTAATGCATGCTTTTCAAAACAGAAGACTTTAAGTTGATGATACTTTCTATCTTTTGCACTTTTGTCTTCCTGCAAATTAAGTAAAATCTTTTCTGCCCATAAAAAGGTAAGTAAAATAAGTTCCCATATGTCTCCAATCAGGTGTTTGGTTGCATCCTCTGGATCAGTTGCTTACTTTCAACATGGCATCATGGAAAAATCTTTTTTCTGGCTTTTTAAACAAAGGCCAGAGTTAGGCAAAGCGCTGGCTGATTTACGACATCTTGTGTTGCTAAAACAATGAGACGTACTACGGAGAAAAACAAAAGCATCCCTGGAGATGAACTTGCTGAACACTCTCCAGAACGACATGTTTTGGGCTTTGTGTTTTTGTGATGGATGATGGTTTTTCCAGGAGTCAGGTGTTGGGTGGGGGCAATAGGCAATGGGGTTGGTGCATCAGCATTGGGGGTGAGGTGGAGGTGTTAGACTCTCTCCCAGCCCAGGCCTGAACTCAGTGCTTTTCTTTATGTATGTATATGTATGTACTGTACATATACATATGTGTGTGTGTGTGTGTGTGAATACGCATACCAGGCCACTGTGAGTGCCTCTTTGTCGCGTAAGTGTTTACTTGAATTTATTTTGGGAGAATTCCACATGACTGGGATGGGGACCTCTATAAATTATGGAATAAAGCGCATTGCGTAATAACTTCTGTCAGTTAGGCAGGCTGGGTAACTGTTTTTAAGAGTGTAAATACTGGGGTGGTGAAAGAGGGAGAGGGGTGTCTGTGTGCTGGAAGGTGCTGCAGACGTTCTTGTACATTTAGTAGCAAAACCAAAATGCTTCTTACACCACTTTCCTCACTTTGCCACATTTTGAAATCTGAGAACTACTTGTGGACTGTACTGTAACTACATTTAATCAAGATAAATGTTTAAGTATTTGCCTTTATTTGAGTGTTGCTATTTTATGATATTTTACACTTTGACTCCACTACATTTTAGGGGGAAATAGAGTACTTGTTACTGAACTACCTTTGCTTGAGAGTTACCATTACTACTTATTTAGCAGATTACATTTTTTACATGCAAAAAAAAAAAAAAAAAAAAAAATACTGAGCTTATAAAATAGGATGCACTATTATAGTGATAACTACAATGGCCAACAATAGAACTCAGTATTTTATTAAAAATATGTCTGTTCTTTTCCTTTTTTTAAACTGTCTTTTTGATGTGGACTTTATGGATATATTTTTACATTTTGGTATTGCTTAAAGAAATATGTCTCGCCTATGGGTACCCAACTGAACTGATATTAAATCCAGTTTATATTTTATTGTCCATTGTTTGATGTTTTGAGGGATACTCCTTTTTGTAAAATGTCTTCAATATCTGACAAATTTTTGGGATGGACGACTATAAGACACTTGAGTTGTGTTTTGGAAACTTAACTTTTTATGTGGCAGAGTTCTGTAATGGAAGGAGAAGAGTTTGAAAATGTTTTTTTTTTTGTATTTATGGAAGCAACAGTATTTGTGGTACTGGGCACTTTAGCACTTGACACAACTAAAATAAATCTGTCTGTCTGATACTGTCTGGCTATGTTGACAGGGGTTGTACACAATAACTCAAACCTGAGACATCTTTTCACATTCTGCCTATGATGTATGACCCAGAAAGCCTCCATAACCCTTCATACTACCATGGTCCTTGAGTTGGAGCACTGTTTAGTCACTGTAAGTTGCCAGAGCTCTAGGTGTCAACCTCCATCTGCCTTTTTTTTTGGCAGTAAAAAAAAAATCCCACAGCCATTAAGGAAATAATGCTCTAAGGTAGAGAAAAGCATGGTGAAGAATACTACAAATGTTTGACACTTTTATTTGATGTCACTTAAAATGGTTTGTACACTGTAAAATTACAAATTAAAAAAATTATTTTTCTGCAGTTTACCTAAATAACTTAATCAGCCACTTGTTTTACAGTAGTACAAACAATATAGCACATTTACATGCAGGTCAATGGTGATACTAGCGGTCAAGGATTAATACAACAAAACAACCTGTTCTCCAAAGCTTACAAATGATGGGAAACTGGCAAAAACCACAAGACGGACTGGCTGAATTGTCCTCTGCTTTAGTGGCTTTCTGTTACTGAGACTGTTTGATTTGAACAACTAAGTATCCGATCACAAGCGGAGTTATTCTGTGTTTGCCGCCATCACAGAACTTCACAATTCTCAGTGGGCACCACAGGTTTGTCAGGGTTAGACACACAAGGCGTTGCAATGCCAAGTAATGCTCACATCCAATACCTCTGCAGACTTGTGGCAAATCAAACTGAAGGAGATTAAGTGTAATCACTGGCCATGCAGGGAAAGTGCACTCACGTCCGGGTTTGCAGTATTACCAAAATGATCAGATGAGAATGTAGTGGGAACAGAGCACGTCAACATTTCTCTTTGGCAAGCACTTGACAATAGAAACTGTACTTATAGATAGATCACAACTTTATTCATTGAGGCCATATGTGGTTTATAGATATTATTATGTGCCTTTCACTATAAGCGTTCATACTCTAGGTGTCTGCCTTCAAGTACAATATCACCATCTAGTGGTTCTTACAAAGCAAGTGTCCATGAAGGAATAGTGAAGGTAAGAAATTCCTACTTGACTGGGGCTCATCTTTTTTCTTCTAATGGATAATTGTTGCTTAAGTGACTTGTTTATCAGTGACACTAAAAACAACACTGCACCACAGAGATTGAAGGATCAAATCAAGTTTTGACATCTGGCATAGCATCAGCATAAATCAGTCATACAAGTCGACGGCATCTCTGTTCGTGGTAACGAGATATTCTGAATCATTTTAAGCTAGGGCTTCCACTTTTTATTGTCTTTATCTGTTTTATTGAATGGTTAGTCTGTAAAATATAAGGAAATCATGAAAAATACCAACCCAGAAGCCCAGCGTAATGTCTTCAATTTGTTTATGTTGGAGAAAACAGACCGCAGCCCAAGTATCTTAAATTTTACAGTGACATAAATCAGAGAAAACCAGCTAATTGCCACATTAAAGAAGATGGAACTGGCAAATGTTGTGCAATTTGCTTTATAAATTAGCCTACAGAAAATAAAAAAAGTCACACAAGTTTGTACCATTTATTAGTTAAATTGACAAGTGGCTCAATACAGTGATTGATGACACTGCCCTACCCTGAAAGGCTCTCAATTTGAAATAAATAGTGTAAAAAAAAAAAAAAGAACATTCAATTTAAATGGTTAGTAGATCTAAAAAAGACCAAAACTGAAGACATTTACAGAGTTCTTTCTTTCCATTAATTACAAAAAGCAGATACAATAAAACATGAAGGAAACATAAGATTTTTATATAGATACCTTGCATTACCCCATAGTCTGTAACATGGTGGCGGTGACGTTCTGATTGAACCTAGACTAATCTTTACCTACTGCCGAATCCTTGATTTGATACTGACAAGACACCAAATGCTTTTTACTTGTAACATACATACGAGAATGCACTCCTTTTTTCTTTTCAGCTGATCTTTAATGAAACTGCTTTTAAAACTTGGACCTAAACCAGTTATTTAAATAAGGCATCGCATATTTATCGTCTTGTGTTCTGTACATTAGTGATAAGTCTTCCAGCAAGGTTTCTTTGTGTTTCAAAGCAATATGGACCAGAAAGCAAAAACAGTACAGTCTTCAAGCAAGGCTCTAGGGGCACTTCTTTACTGAACAACCTGAAATTCTAGCCATCTTTGGGGTAATGCCTTTGTGTTCAGTCTTTGAGAAAAAGAAAGGCACAGTCTGCAGAGCAGGATTAGACAGGAGAGTTCAGTCGAAGTGCTTTGTTGCTGAACTCCTCTCAAGGGAGCAGAAAGTAGCGCACATTGTTGCGGTTTCTTTTCTGTTGCATCAGATAAAGACCTTTGTTTTCCTCTCTGGGAATCCAGGGCTGGCAGCTCCTCAACCCCCACATGCAGGTGAAATGAGATGTCTGCAGCTCCAATTATTAAAAAAGGTATTTCATTACTGGACATTTGAGATATATGAAACACCAGCAAGACACAATGAAATCTGGCGTTTTATGATCAGCTACAAACACTGCAGAGCAGTTTGTTGTCGAGCTTTGTCCACATCCAACTTGTCCTACAGTGGGTTCAAAGCAATCGCCTTCAGCAATGTCAAAGGTTCCTGGGAGGCTCTGACAGGCCGAGGGAGAAGCCTCGTCTGCGGTACTGTCCACGATCATCCCACTCGCTCTCTGGCTTTTGTCTGTGTTAATTACGAGTCAGAGAAGATTAAAATTGCTGGTGGGTGCTGTACCTCACTGAAGGACAGAACTGATGCAAAAGGCAGAAGAACAAACCTCAGCCAGCTCTTATCTGAACGCCGGAGAGGAACCAAGATACCGTATCTGACTCCCTGCATGCTTCAGCCCGTTTGGAAAACTGAGCTGATAAACTGGCTGCACTGTGGAATGAAAGTTCTTTTTGAAATGATAACGGTGAGCACAGGTCAACACAGTGTGGCACAGAAGTGAAGCTGTTGTCTCCTGTTCGAACTGGTCACTGGCACTACCACGTTTATACACCGTGAGAGCCCAGCACATTTATAGGAGGATTCTATGGACACAGTGATGGTATACCCTGGAGGGAAAGGTTTTCCTATCCCAGAAGAAATGAATATACACATGTAGGCAATGTTGAATAAACAGAGGTAGCTAATTTAAGTAGCATTACCAAATAAACAATACTAGACTAAGATTTAAAAACTAGTTTACATTGGCCAGTGACTGATACTGTGTGAATTCACATCAGCTAAAAGTCTGCTACCCATAAAAATGCTATCATGCCTATCCTTTAATAAGTTCTTCATTAAGACATTCCTCCTAGCTGCTGTAATGATCTCATCAATAGAGAAACTGATCACTGTTAATGAAAGCATGACTGCTAATATTTCACCGATTCAACAGCCTACATGGAGTTACTTATATGATGAATGTGATGAGGTTATTTTTCTCCAGGACCCCAGTAACAATGCAATTTCATACAAAGATTTCTGAGATTATCGGTTGTTCACTTGTTTTTTTTTCCCTTTTTAAACCTAAAAATAGGTTGTTTTAATGAAAAAGAGGATGAGCAAATCAACCTTTATTCCCTGATGTGTTCTTCAAAAATTCTGGGTTTGTCTAATTCCTTCAGAACCCAGATCGCCTCTGCTTCGAAGCCCGCGTGGTTTGCAGTGTCAGTAGTTGCGAATGCTGAAGAAGCCCACGCTGGTAGGAGACTCCTTGACTGTGACGGTGACTAGATTAGCAGTGACATCTGTTACGAACACATGTTCTATCAGGCTACGCGTGGGCTTCCAGTCCTGGTTCTGGACCGATACTGAGCAATTTTGTCTGTTGTAGGAAGAATCCTGATCGGAGTCTGAGCTGCTGTCCTCTTCACCTGTGCTTATGTCATTCATTTTGGCTTTCTTGCCATCTTTGGAGGCTGACCTCTCTTGCTGACTCCGGGCCTCTGTAGTATGTACACTGCTCTTCTCCAGCCTGGCTTGGACACTGGAGGTCTGAATTTCAGCTGCCTCCTTGACCTTGTCTGCTCCAGACTGGCTCTTTCTGACCTGTGATTTTCCAGGGGTCACAGGACTATTAGGAGAATTATACTCCTGATTTTGTGTGACAGTAGTTTTTCTTGCTGGGCTCGCTGCATTCCTCAGGCCTGATACTGTGGCAGTGCCATTTCCAGCGTCGTTGCTTTCTGCCAGTTTGTTCTGAAGGTTGAGCGGTTGAAGGTTAGAGCCATGATTGGAGGAGGCAGTTTTAGATGCTAAGGAAGACACTGCTTTAGTATGGGGCATCTGCTGCAGTGCTGACACAGGGCCCTGGGGTTTTTTTTGTCCACTGGAGGATGAGCTTTGTGTATGCGCAGTTGTTCCTTGAATAGGGTGTCTGGATGTATTCAAATTCATCGCTGCTACCCCTTTGGATTTGCTAGCAGCTGCTTTCAGATCCAGACTTGTCCCACTGTTCATACTAAAAAAAATTCCTGCTTTGGCTGGATTTGTTCAGGGAGAAGGAGGCAGGTTGGGCTGACCTGCCAGATCCCATGGAGCTCAAGGAGCTTTTAATAGCCCCACCCTGGGTCACTATGCCCCGGTTCTGACCACCCACTGTATCTCTGGCCGAGCCCCGATGAAAACCCATGAAGGCGAAACTGGCCGGATGAACAGGCTTTTTGATAACTCCTGGAAGATCTATATCTTTGGCTGCCTTCAGGATTTTGCGAGGGCCCTTGTTCTGCTGAAATTCCTTCACTTCAGGGGGCAGAGGTTTCCTGCTTCGTTTCTTTGGGGGATCCTGTTTTGCCATGACAATCTGTGCCTTCTTCTGAGGGACAGGATGAAGGTCCCGTGTTCTGACACTCTGGTTCGCCCGGTTAATGCTGTCGTCATCGTCATCGTCTGTTGAGGAGGAAGAGGAGGAGCATGAGGATGAGGAATCGGAGGATGATGATGAGCCAGACGAAGAGCTGCTTGACTGTGGAGCTTCAGGCACATTTTCCTAAATTAAAGAGCAAATATTATATTAGATACTGTGTGCTGAGCCCTGACATTCTGACGTTCAGCTTTGAGTTGTACTTACTAGGATTTTCCGTGGTCGTCCTCTTGGCCTTTTGCCTCTCTTGAGCATCAGAAGCTCCTTTTCTTGCTCTCTATAAAAATACATTTCAACAAATGCATAAAGCGGAATTTTTAAGTATTAGACAACATACACCGTTTTGATAAAATCTGAAGTTTTTTTTCACCGTTCAACAATGGAAAAACATGCAGTAGATGAGCAATATGATCCTGGAAAAATCCCAATTAATGTGAAGTGCACTGAATGAATCAATGTGGAGTATTTGACATATCACTAGGACTACAGCTACATCTAATGTGAATTAATTAGGTCTGGAAAATGTTTTCTAACTTTCAAATTTTACTCTGCTGTCTGACATAAAGAAATCACGATAATGGCTAAAATTAGAGATCCACTGATCAATCGGCTAGAGATCAGAGTTTGTGGGTTTTCAGCTTGACCGTTCATGACCGGTGACTGGCTGATCACTACGATATCGGATTCTGTGTCGGTTGTATTTGCACGCACGATGGCCCACATTGTGCACACAGTAATACAGACCAAAAGCGTAGCATGTGCCGTGTTGCACCTTGTGTGCACCTCACTCCTGCATTGGAAGTGTTTGGTGTACAAAAAGCACACAGTCTACAGAACACCTGGGAGAAGGGAAAACTATGGCCCAAAACTCTGACAAATAGTGCACAATGAGCGAACTACTGGCTACACCTGAAATGCATGTATATGTACAGTGTATCCAACCCGTGAGTATGGCATCTTCAAAATCCACTCGATGTGTGTTTATGTGTTACAAAGCTAACAGACCGCTAATTGGTGGGTTATTGTTACAATAAGGATACTCACTTTTTGTTGAAAGCAGCCAGTAGTCTTGGGTCAAGGATGTTTTCTTGGGGCTCCCAGCTGTTGTGTCTGAAATAAAGTGACATGAAGAGTGTTTCACATCACAGGATTAGTCAAAACAAAGAAGTAGGGTTGCCCATCAAGATAAAACGTACCCTTCAGTCTCAGCAGTGACTCAAAATTTAGAATACGTCCTTTTAACGGTTTGTTCATTCAGAAACAAAGGACTCTGTTCCAACAGTGATGATCTTACTCTTAATCTGTATTGTCATTAACACTGTTTAAGGGCTGGCTGTGAAACAGGGCAAGAACAAACATGTAGTATTACAGTAATGGTGCCACAGTAAAAACAAAATCTTAATAATAATAACAGCACTATAATTTAGTGCTACTTTGCTTTAAATAGACAAATAGCCCAGTACAGTGTAGCACTCACCAAGAGACAGCAGTTAGGATAAGCTGATATTTTGTTCCTTGTTAGCAACATATTTATGTGAGGCAAGATATTTTTCAGTCGGGCTTTTTACATGAAAACTAGTGAGGTGTCTCATCGCATGTCAAGCTGTTACCTTCAGATGTGTACATTCTCATTTAACAATCAAACATGTTAGTCATTAAGAATGCGAACAGATGTGAACTGTTACTTGATTGACAACGGCGGCATGTCTGACAGAATCTGAAATCATTTCCAACAGTGATTTTGGAGGGCCGCATCCTGACAAATTTTGTAGTTTTCCGAAACCGACAACCCGACAGCGACTGGCACACCCAGCTGCCTGTTAACAACCTGTCAGACAGCGCGTTTGTCATCCCACTTCGGAGTGTATCCCTTTGGAACAGCTATAAACACATTTGCATAGTTTATTAATTAAAGTTGTATAATTAAAAAGTTTATTCGGGGTTTGGACTATTTCTTGGACTTCAATGGGGAAAAAAGTTCAAAAATGTAAAAGTGTGATACAATTTTGCTGTTGCAGAAATATGTGGGGAGTTTTTGAATATTTCAGTGACATATCACAGAAGGTACTTTACCACTTGTTTCCTACAGCCACCAAATCAGATTCAGTTTTGAATAATCTCGTTTTTTTTCCATGATGAGCAAAACCATAGTGAATACATGACCGCCCATCTCTGCTATACATGAACCAAACAGGAAGGAAGAACATTTTTGGAAGTGCACGATATGGTGTGTACAATTCGATTCAATCACATTATAATTAAAAATTCAATGACAACAATGTAGGAGTAGCTGCAGAATATTTGTATTTACTTTATTTCTCTCCCCTTCTAGGCCTGATATGATTATGTAAAGAACAACCAGACTTATGTTCTGTTAGACTGTCTTATTTACAAAAGATATGAAATCGCTGGTGTATGGAGACCACACCATAAATATCACTACACAAAATGATACATAGTGACGTTGTTGTATTGCAATATATAGACTTTCTATATATTGTTTGTTGTGCTAGTGTCATTTAGACAACAACACTAACTTTTTTTGCTATTGTTCCTTTTGCACCTGTACATCCTGACAGGTTCTGCGCTTTTTTTTTTTTTTTTTTTTTGCTGAGTTACTCGTCCTATGTATTTCAGAAACAGCCTCAAACTGAAAAGAAATGGTTTTGTTCTGTTGCAATGCATGTGCCCTTTCTCCTCATCATCACTTGTTTTGAATAGCCTCTTCTGATCAGCAGTCACCAGTAAGATAATCACCCCCACCCTTTCCCAACACGCACACACACAAACACACACAAAGGATGTGGTTCTAACAGAAAGCCATGGTGCTGCAAGGCAATAGTGTGCACTGGCGGTGGATTACAGCAACAATGTGGAGTGAACAGAAAGGGCAAGTGACGAGAAATAAAGGCAGTGGAGCCTTTGAAGCAGCAACAGAAATTCAGGATAAAGACAGAACAACGTAAGTGAGGTTGTTTGGTTATGGAATGAATCTATCATGGTATAAAGTAGCTATAAATCAAAGATCAGTCTTCGCAAATTTTTGCCATGCAAAAAAAAAAAACTTGTTTTGAATCAACAATAAAATGTTACGACTGTGTGGTTAAATAGAGGTATGGAAAATAGCTAATGAAAAATAATGTAGGCCTGTTTTCCTTGGCTTTCTGCTAACTTCCCAAATCTGAGTCGTTATGAACAAAAGAAAGGAAATGTAAAGGCACAATTTGTGAGCTGTATTTCAACAAACTGCCTCCAGAAACACGAGGAAACACTGTCCCGTCGTCGCTGCACTGTGGACTCGGTGCTTTTGACAATAAATAAATGAGTAAGTAAATAAATAAAACAAAAACAGCGGTTTAGGTAGCAGTTTTACTAAAAGCAACAAGCGACACGTTGTTGTCTTCATTGTTTCGGGCTGAGCAGCACCACTTCTACTTACTTGGATGACCATCCCCTCCACTTCACAAGAAACTCCAACTTTCCCTGAAAGAAAACCAGCAGAGAAACAGCATTTGCAAACAGCCGCCCCAAAACAATGCAGCCACAGCTCACGATGTTTCACAGCTCTGACCTTTCTCAGTCGTTTGTTTAAAATGCACTCCGCATCAAAAACCTGCTCTCCCACGGCGCTCAGCTCCTCCATGTCTGCTTTCGCTCGAATAAGAAGCCTTATCAAAGCACGAGCGCTGCGTCAAGCCAGACGCAATTACGAGAAGCCTAAACCGGATGCCCAGTGTTTTGCCTTCATAATAAAGGTCTTGCCCAAAACTGTATTCGGTAAAGTTGGCTAAATAATGACTGAACTGGTCTGAAGAGACGATATGTGGCTAAAAAAAGTATTGTTGGTTTAAGTGCAGCTATTCCGTTTTATGTAGTAATGGTAGTAGTAAGCAAAAAATGGTGAAATAGGAATCCACAGTTTGTTTTAGCATACACTAAAATGTAAAAACCCGTTTGCTAAGAGCAATGTTTATTAGCAGTAAATATGAAGTGTAAATGCGTTAACACTGAAGGATAGTTTGTTATGATCTAGATCAGACCAGATGTTATCAAACCAGATGTTGCCAATGCTACAGAAAAAGAAATTATTACAATAAATGTCGTGCACAATTGCTTTTTGTTACTGCAGTTGGTCACAGCACACATGCAACATTTTTTAACTTATACACATTTTTTTAATGAAAAATAAAGTAAAATAACTTAACACCAAAAGATTCAAAACAGTGACGTTTTGTTATAACTTTTTAATTATAGTATTTGTGGTAATGCGTGTTTTTTTAATGCTTTATAAATACAATCACACACACGTGATAGTGTGGAGGGCAAGAGGCTCAGAAGTGAAACATTGTGTTACGTTGAAAGTTGTAACCGGACGTGTAGTGCTTCAGTACAAATCTTGACGATTTTTCGCGAGGAGAGGCGGGCAACTGATTATTGTAGTTGATGAAGTGTGTCCCTTGGCAGACACCGTCCTCTGATCTTAAAATATTCACCTACTGTAAATTAAAGTACAGACATGGACCAACATTTATACTGAAATGTTATTAAAAACCTGCATTATTTTCTTTTTATAGTACCTTGCTTAACTTGTTTGTAGTTTTAAAATAATGAATAGCAATTAACAGACACATATTTTGTGATTGTGGCTTCAGAAGATGCTCATATTCAAGGCAGCTATACTGAGGTTTAAGGCAGTTTAATGTTATATACACGATTATATGGTGTTTCAAATTGTCCATTCATTCCAACATTTAATTACAACGTGTTGTGGGACAGACATGGCCTATAATAATACATGTATATACCATGTTCAAACGTAGCATCAGAGAATTCAACACAATTGGAATACTAAGCAAAAATTGAGCTGGTGAGTTATTTAATCTTAATCAGTTTCCTCAATTTGGTTCATTTTTAATCGGTATTTAAAAGAAGCACTACTTGCACAACATAGATATGCATTATTCTGGTTTTATTCTTTGTGCAATCCAGGTATTGTCTTTCCTCACATGTAATGCCAATCAGTCGGAAGGAATGTCCGCAGGCAGCTGTCTCACCCTGAAGCATTACATTTTTGTGTGATGATCAAAATGCAGTTTGTTTTTCAGGTTTTTCATCTGTAATATCTTTTAAACTTCCTGATCTGAAACAGAGAAGAATCGTGACGTATTTATCAGTATTAAAATATTATTATTCTTAACAGTAGTCTTCAAAATATTTCATCCATGTTTCCACCCCTACAGTGATCAAACATTATACTACTGAGTCATTACCTTTCGCTCTTGCTTTTCTTCTTGAATATTTTGTAGGACATCGCCACTATAAAAACTACGGCAAGGAATCCAGTCACTGCGGCCAGTCCAGTAAAGGCATTTTGTCGGAGATCCACACCCTTACCTGTGGCTAGAAAAAAACAGAGACAGAAGAGTGTTTTGAAAGGTTGATTAATAGAATGAATTTGTAGACTGATACTATATATTTTTAACGGACCACAGTGTTATGTTACCCCATTTCCTCTATAGGTTTAACCTACAGTAGCTCTGCATCTGAATTAGACATATGTGAAGTCAGAAATGATGGATGAACAGCCCAGCAATGAAGGAGCAGGTGTTGGAGTGACACGCTTTCGAAGCCATGGGGAAAGACTCATTAGTCTGTTAAGCTCACCCTGAGTACTGGTAGTAGTCTTAGGAACCAGCATGCACTTGGTGGCATTCAGGTGGCCATCGTTGACCTCTGGCTGGATGCCCAGGATGTGACACATCAAGGGGTAGATGTTCACACTCTCAAAGGGCTCCACCACTAGGTTCTTACGAAATGCCGGGCCCACTGCCCTGAAGAAAACCTTCATGTCCATCTCTTGGTTGTCAAAGCCGTGCTCTCCTTTGTTGAACTGAACTGGGAGATGCTGCAAGGGACACAGAGAGATGGATAACATTGCTACATTCAGACTGTAACTTTTATAAAACTGTGATTTTATGATGGGATCAGCAACAGAGTTCACACATCTTGACCGGCTCTCATTTAGTCAGCAGAGGGAGGTATTGGCCAACGGAAGTTGTTTTCATACTGTTGAATGAAGTCCTGTTTTCTCTTTGTGACTACTGTCGCCTCAAGACAGTGGCTAAATGGGAATTTTAATCCATCTCCTAAATTTCCATTTTTAGAAAAGACTTGTAATACATTTAGTTGATAGTTTAGTAGTCTGCATTAGGTTTCATGCCAAGATAATGCAATATAACTGTCACAAGTCATCTTAGTCTCAAAATGTTTTTCCTTTTCTAGGGTCAAACAAAAAGGAGTTTAAATGGGCATGCTGTAAAGGGAAAGGACATGATGTTTGATCATACAGTCATGCCATGAGTACTTGTAACCAAATTTAGATAACCCATTTCATCAGTGCATTCATAGAAGTGATTATTTTTCTCATGATCAGCATGTGAGGGCACTTGATGTTGGTTATTTACTCCTAAAATTAAGTTTGAGGCCATTTACATAAGTTACTCTTTAAATTATGATGTGATAGTTCTCAGTACTGACTGACACATTCTGTTGCAATCTTGCCGCACAGTGGAGCGACTGAGCGAGTGTGAAACCAAATGAAAATGCTAATTTGGAATTTCGAGGCATGACTAGCTTCATGAAACATCTGAGACTGCTGCATGTCATCAGCCAGGCCTGGATTATCTGGAGGTTGTGCAAATGCACTTGATTAAAATTGAAATATAGTCAGATTCAAATTCCTGGTTGAAGAGAGTCAGATTTCACCCAAATGCAGTTTGGTAATTTGTGTGTTTTTGTAATCTATACTTGAAGATATTTCTAGATTAAACTGGTTGGCACATAGCTTGTTTGCCTGGCCATTTTCTGTATATCAGTGCTTGTCTTTTGATTTTCTTATGGCCATTTAAATAGGCTGTAATCGTGTCAGTTATTGACTGTTGTTAATAAGTTACTGATACTATTACACCATGAAATGTAAATGTTATAGCATCTGCAGGTTTTAGTAGTCTCAATAGCGAAATTAGCATTTCCATATTTTACTGCTGTTTTAAAGCTGTGCTCAGCCACTTGGCATGTTCATGGACAGAAATGGCAACCTCACATTAATGGTTTGCTTTAAAGGGTAAATTGATAAGGTTTTGCAGTGGGTGAGTTCTATCGCTGCATTTCTTTGTGTGGTTTTAATCGTTACAGCATATTGCACTTTTGTCCAAACCCAAGACAGTGCAGAACTCATTTTTGTAATTCCAGCCTATAGTCTTACAGGTGTCTGTAACAACCAACATTTGAGCAGGCAAAATAAGAAAAAAATAAAATAAATTGATCCCATATATCAACACACCGCATTGATCAGATATCCCGGGTCAGCCCATAAAATGATGGGAAGGATACGATCGTTTTTGGCAAAATGGAGGTGTTTTGGCATCTCCTCCTTCTTGTACACATGGAGGTGTGGATGGACCCCCTTCAAGGTGTTGTAAACCTTCTCCAGTTTGCCTGGTTTTGGCAGCAGCATCCCAGAGGGTCCATAGTCCAGCAGGTAGAAGGAGATGTCACTGAATGAGAACCCTGGGATCTTGTAGAGGGTGATGTCATCCGGACGCTTTCTGACCACCGTGCTCATGCCGTGGTCAGCTGTGATGATAATGTTCAGGAGATCAGTCAGCCCGTGTTGTTCAGCTGAATGTCGAATGTAGCCCACGGTTCGGTCAACTTGCTTGACCATCTCCTGTCGCTGTGGGGAGTCTGGACCATATTTGTGGCCTACTCCATCTGGCTCACCAAAGTAGAGGGACACAAAGTCCAGATCTTCGTGTCTCAGCCAACCCATCACCTTATCTGTGTTCACTCGCCAAGCGGTCTCGTTCTTGTAGTTGTAGAGCCCTGGCTCTACTTCTTTCTTCATAGCATTCTCTCCCTGGTAACTGGAAGCTGTGCCAGGAAAGTGAAGAGAGCCAGCTTTTAGGCCCTGGGAGGGTAGGAAAAAAGAGACCACATTGCTGACACACACACGACACATGTACTTAATGTTTTTGCAAGCATGCATAGGATTCATCTATTTATACCGTGGGTCAACATAGAAGAAAATCAATGACCTTACAGCAGCTGTCATTTGCATGCAGTTAACACCTACACCAGCAAAATAATTTGCAATAAAACTGCAGCATTCTCCCTGAATTCATTCAGCAGGCTTTCAGAGGTGTTTTGTCAAGAGAAATGGTTTCTAGTAAACAGCCAAACAGTCTCTCAGAGTGATAAGATGGAAATTGTGCTGCACAGACCTGTCTCTGCGCTGTGATCCAGATAGGCAGAGTGCCATTGTCCCACCACTCATTCACAAACTGAGTCTGGTAGTAAGGCTTTTTCAGTTTGGTGGTCGTGTTGAACCACATGTTGTGGATTACCCCGTGATTCTCAACGTAGCGGCCTACGGAACAGAATCACTTTCAGTCAGCTTGCACTCATTATTCATAGCGTGACACACTCACATTAAGAATTCTATCAACTTAACGGGCTGAGTGGCATGACGCTTTTGGACAAGGTCTTACGACCAACTTCTAAGATTAGAGGAATTTAATTTCAAGGAAGTTAAATTTCTTTTAGCTGGCACTGATGATTTGAGAGTCAAAATAAGAAAGGGAACAGAGAATTCTTCCCTCAGTCATCTAAGCATAATCATCTTACTCAGCTATAAAAGCTGTTGGACCCTGGGACATTCAATTAAAACTAATTTTATTTTCCCATGGCTTTTTTTCAATCCTTGCAAAGTAAACTCAGAGTGGTTTTCTATTTCAACATGACATGCAGATCCCCTGCCAACTGGAAGCAGTGTTGTAGAAAATGGAACACTTTACCTGTCAAGAGGGTGAAGTGTGAAGGGCTGGTGATAGTGAGGTAAGGAGGTGTGACGTACGGGGCTTTGACTCCATCCTTGGCCATTTTGTCAAGGTTTGGTGTGTCCACATCATGGTCGTAATCCCACCGGAAGCCATCGAAGGAGATCAGGAGCACCTTCTGTCTCTGTTTGTTTACTGGAGCGCCGAGGATGGATGAGGCCCAGAGGAGACAGAGGCTTGCAGTCCACAGCATGGTGAACGCAGGCATTTCACAGATCTTAACTGACTGTGTCCTCCAGCTAACACAAAGTTTACAAAAGGATCCACCTCCTGGCATCTCACCTGAAGGTGTCTGAAGCCAGCGGTTTTTGAGCAAAGTTTCACCAGCTTATCTTATCTCGTGATTACCTCAGCACTTTTCTGCATATGGTTTGACGATGTTTATTAGCTGATTTTACAGCTGGGGGTTGTGTTCACTGTGAATTTTCCCCCCATTTTGTTCCTGAGGACTGGCGGTAAAGCAGATTAATCTCTCTGGGTAGCATGGTTGTTTGTTTCCCCCCTAACCCGCTTGTTGATGCTGCCTTTCTGTTTCTCTGCCTGCCCGTCTGTGTGTCGGAGTTTCCTGTGAATCATTGACAATGGGGGAATGACACTTTGATGGCTTTCACCTTGAATTGGGATGGTGCATGATTGATCTGACACCAGGAAAACGAAGAGGAAAATGGGAGTATATATCTCTTCGTCACCTAGCCGTAGTCTCTCGGGAAGAAAAGACCCTAATAGACATATATATTTTAATAACTCTAATGTGTGTATATTAGCCCCAGGCTATTGTTAAAAGATCACTTTAAAATCTGCATTGATTTTTTTTTTCTTTGCTGAGCACATGAGTGTGGAGAAACCATTAAAAATGAACCGCAGCTTGGACGATGTTCGACTTCTCATCTAGACATTATATATCACTACGTTGTGGCGAATCTTTATCAGTGACCATAAAATTTCTAGACAAGCTAACTCTTCATATTTGTTCTTTATCATTTATGTCCTTGGTAGAAGTTCAAGGGAACTGTCTAATCTTTATGGAGATAAGGGATAACATTCATCAGCTTTCATTTACCTCATTCATATTCATTAGATTTCTGATATTAACTCTGTAAGCTCATCGTCCGGTGTCAGTGAGATTGGGAGAGGTGTTCTGGACTGCTGAGACCAGTGCAAGTCTCAGATCTTTGCTATGAGAACTTTATCAAACACACACACTCTGAACTTGAGGGGCAAGCAAACTTTATCTGACCCGCTCAATGCTGCACAGAATTTCCACAGGGATTCTCACATGTTCTTGAAGAAAAGTACATTTTTGCCTGTAGCACTCCCTAGTGCCCGTACACAACCACTGCAGTAGAGAGGGAAAGCCAAAACAACTTCTTCAGTGTGAGCCCGAGCATGTACAGTGATAACACACACATTAAGTTAAACTCATTGTATTTGAACATACTTGGCAATAAAGATTGATTGATTGAAGATCATGTTATTTCCCAGGCTGAACATACAGTACTGTATCATTTAGTACAGTGTCTACTCATTACAGTGTCTTCAAACCCTCTATATAATATTTTACTTTAGCTGAAAATCAGTAAATCCTCTTGACATATTATTGAAAGTGCTTATAATGAGTATCACTTATATGTAAAGAAAAAAAAATCAGTTCAAAAATTAGTTCATTTGGTAAATGAGCATTTAACAAATCCATAAGACATCTAAAAATGTGAAATAATGCTAAAACTATTTCTCCCACTCCAAAAAGAACATGTAGACCTCCATAGAGCAAATACATATTGTCCCAAAGCTACAAAAAAGACAGACGACCTCTGCGAGTTGCATAGTTTGGAGGACTTGTTGCATAAAGGATGCGTACATTCACCAACCACAGAATGACCCTTGTCTTTCTAAATAATAAGGGAAGTAACAACAGATGAGGAGATAACAGGCCTATCTGTTGACCTAAATGTGTGTTCCTCTGTGGATGTTTGCTCACTGACGAATCGAAAATAAATGAGCAGTAACTGATAGTTTGTCACTTGTTAGATGTGCTGTCCTCGGGTGCACCTGTCACACATTTAGGTGTGCAGATAATTTTTATTTATTTGTTGTCAGATTGTTGATTCTTTAAAGATTAGTGCCTTGATCTTGATAAAAACACAAGCACTAAATGGTTTTTTTTTGTCATGATTCCGTTTCATGCTATTCAGCGTTACATAAAACACCTCTAAACAAACTTGTAAATTAAAGCTGCTCTGTTTCCGCCAAAGAAAATATAAGCAGGTGTTTGTTGTTTGTCTGGATGTAAGGATTTATTCTAATCTTTATACAGTAGGCCTACATGCCATCAGAGTTGTGGGAAATGGTCTATTTAAAGCAAGTTATAATGCAGTTTAAAATGCTGATTTTTTTTTTTAACTGTCATAGTCAGGACACTTTTAGAAAATCACATTTTTAAACTTGTCAGGTTAAAAACATGAAGTAACTAATCTCATAAAAAAAAAAACAAATTTGAACAGTTGGATTTCAAACATCTAATCTAAATGGCAAGTGAACGAGGAGTGAGATCCAAATGTAAAATACATAACCACAAACATCCGTTTACAGGTGATGATGGATTCTTATCTCAATCTGTACTCCGCTCACTTGGTGTTCGACTGGCACACGGCTTCTTTGCCTGCCGTGACTGGAAGTAGGCCATCAGGTTCATGCCAGTGTGCTCGGATTGATGTATTTTGAACTGTGAGCAAACAGAGTTAATGCCTGAGTGGCTTATTAACAGATTACATAATAGTAAGTTCAAGCGTAAAGTTCAAACCACAGGAAAACACCACTGGAGATGCACTTTGAACACATATACAGTAGTTCTTGTTACAAACAGTAGGTGCTACAGATGTATTCTTTGATACTACAACATTTTCAGAGTCTAACATAGGTATACATATATTGAGACACTAATTTTATCAGTTATTGTAGTAAACAATGAAAGAACTCAGTTATCAATTTGTGCCAAATGATGAGTGAGTTCTGTGTACAACTAGAAGCATACAGCTCTGACATAGATTTTAATTTTTTTTTTTTTTTTACAGAAATAATTTTTTCATACCTAAATAAATTATTTCAGTTCTTTCTTTTTACCATATCAATTTATGTTAATGTAATTTATGCTTATCCCAGTGCTCACGGTCAGATCACAAGGATAATATAACTCAGAACATAAAGGCAAAGCAGCAGTTTTTAAAACTAATTTATTTCATAAACACCCAGAGTTACTGTTGCTAGCTAGGGCTAGCATCTAATAGCCATGTCAGCACTTCGTACATCTGACCTAGAGTGTCTGTCTTTGCCCTTGAACAAAGCCTATATGAGAGTGTTGTTTCCATGTAAGAACACGGATTGACATTGATTTGATAACAACGAGATTAACATTTAGAGAAGGTGACAGTCAGTTCCACCTGAATAGCACGGTCTATGCACAGTAGCATAAATGTCTAACAGTATAGGAGCTCTTCCTCCAGTAGGCCACTGGAATGTCTACCTGCATCCTGAATCTACAGTAACAGTTGTAACCCCTTCTACAGCAGATAGACTGTTGTTTATTTGTTTTTATGGCATGTAGAAGTTTGTCTTCAGAGGTTATTTTGAGATACATCAGATAATGCAGCAATATGAAGTCTAATGAATGATCAGCTAAAGGCTTCATCATATTACTGTCAGTTATAATTTTATGGTAATAATCAGTGTCTTGACTGATGCTGTCACTCCACTTCTGGTAAAACATAAGATGGCATCCACCATATTCACTATATTTTGGCTTCATTTTTGCACAGCGGAGGGAAGTGGTGATACGACGTCCATCTTATATCGCCAAATGCTTGAAGTAGGAAATGTGTTAAACACTGTTTGGCCTTGATGCATTTAGGTGATAAAACTTTGAATTTGATCAAATGTATTTGTTTACAATGAAACTCTTAATGTTAACATGTGCTAAAGGTTCATCCTGTGTAGCATGAATGAGTTTTTGGAATTTCAAGGCAAACTTGCTTTAGATTTTGATATTTCTTGTAAATATTCTTGTGGTGAAAGGTTTTTAACATCAGACATATCATACCAGCACAGATGAATAGATTAAAGAAATGCAAAGAAAAATAAATGTATTACATTACAATGTGGCTTTAGCAGAAACGCTCTGTTGGGAAGGAACGCTGCTCATGCTTGGACTGGACAACACTGAAGCAATATGCAGGATTTCATAGTAAGTGACCATTATTACACTGAAATATCTCTAACCCTATGATTTTTTTTTTTAACTGTCATAGTCAGGACACTTATATCGCCAAATGCTTGAAGTAGGAAATGTGTTAAACACTGTTTGGCCTTGATGCATTTAGGTGATAAAACTTTGAATTTGATCAAATGTATTTGTTTACAATGAAACTCTTAATGTTAACATGTGCTAAAGGTTCATCCTGTGTAGCATGAATGAGTTTTTGGAATTTCAAGGCAAACTTGCTTTAGATTTTGATATTTCTTGTAAATATTCTTGTGGTGAAAGGTTTTTAACATCAGACATATCATACCAGCACAGATGAATAGATTAAAGAAATGCAAAGAAAAATAAATGTATTACATTACAATGTGGCTTTAGCAGAAACGCTCTGTTGGGAAGGAACGCTGCTCATGCTTGGACTGGACAACACTGAAGCAATATGCAGGATTTCATAGTAAGTGACCATTATTACACTGAAATATCTCTAACCCTATCCTGGCATGTGTACCATATGTGTGCATTGTTTGTGTGAGAGAGACAGAGAATGAGTAAGCGCTGGAGCCGAGTGGAGGAGGCGCAGGCCTGTGGAGGCAGCTAGGCTGATTTGCAGCTTCATCCCAGCGCGTGGGCCCTTTCAGGCTCTGTTGCCTGAAACAGGTTGATGTGATAAACTCTGTAGTCAAGCCAGTCAGATGTGGCACAGTGGAGGCACCCTCCTCCTCCTCGCTTCTCTCCCCTTGGCCTGGTGTCTCATTGTGGCGCTGTGGGGCTCCAGTGTGCTGGCATTACACTTTCACACCGCAATAATTGATTTCTTTAATTTGCTTCAAGAGAAACTGTTGTCAGCCAACCAGGCAGCCATTTTTCAGGCCACTTTAATTAAATGCCAGGTCTTTAGGTGTGATATGAAATTCGTTTGGCTCCTTTGATCTTCTATTCCTCAGACAATTCATTAACATTTTCGTTTCTGCCTTTATGTTTTACACAAAGCTTCAAAAAGGAGCTCATCAGTGACATTTCGGCTCCTGTAGTATACGTTCAATCATTTATTTAAGTACATTTAAACTAGAGATTAAGTGCAATGTGGCTGTTTCACTTGAGATAATACAGAGCCTGTGGGGCCTCAGTCAGTCGAGGAATTCACGAGAATAAAAAGCAGACCTGCAGTTGGGTGTTGTTCATTGTTCAGTTTGTTATATATTGTAACTATTTCAGTTTACCTGAAGACAAGAAGATAACAAAATTAACCACAGTGGATAAACAAACATTCAGGTCTACATTTCTGACATTGTTAAATTTTCCTTGTTCTGGCTAGCAGCTATATTAATCTATGTGCTGAACTGGTTTCATCCTGATGGCCCCTGCCTCTTTCACAACAATCAAAAGTGTCACTGGGCCTATAATTTGATTGGAATTATAGGTTTATTATTGTCAGATCTCTTTTACACC